TAGTTATTTTTCATTGGAATTCTCTTTAGTGATTTAGTGTTATCAGAATTAGCACCAGTATTAAGTCTCCATCTATCAGCATTTTCATGTTTTGTTTCAGTCAATTGATTTGTTAATTTCTTCTCTTTTGTCCATCTTTCTCATTGCAGAATTCTCAATATTCACATGTTGTTGCCATATTATTATTATGTATTGTGCTGAATTTATTATATTTTGATACATTTGCAGGAATATCAAGCTGCTTTTGTTACCCCTCATATCCATTGTAATTATGCACATGTGAATCATTTATCTCCATGATGCTATCAAATACTATAGTGCTGCATTGTATTTACACTGTTATGAGTAGATAACATGGTGTTATAATAGCAAAGTTCCCATTGCTTGCATAGATTGCTATTTAATTTCCAGGAATTATCCTGCAGGTACATACATAAGTTATGTCACCACTGACTATATTCATTTATATAGGACAAAACAGAAAGCGCAGATCAAAATTATCCATAAAACTTCTTTTCTTGTCACAAGTCTGAATTTTGAGGAGCAAGGCATGCTATCTATTCTATACATCGTGTTGTTGAACCTTGGGTAAGAATTATAGGTACTAACAGATAGAGACACTCCCTTTAATTATAGTCCTTCCTGCATTAGATCAGGATTGTCCATTTCCATCTTGGCAGTGCCCAGCATTACATGCATTATTGATGTAAAAACAGATCAAAACAATTTCTCTAAAGTAAATCTTTCATCTTCTCTATCATGTAAAAATGACACAGGTCATTTGTCATTTAAAATATTGCTTTTTATTGGCCTTTCTAGATACTAAGCAATAAAACAAGCAAATGTGCAACAGTGGCAAAGTCAAAGTTCACCCCCCTGTGAGTTTGCTTTATGATGCAGTCTTTAATTACGTGATAACTTACTGTTTTTAACATAGAACTCATGTGTAATTCAGTACACAAAATGGACCTGCTCTGGGGATGCATTAGGGTCGAGTAGAGCTTCTTACGCCAGTTAGGATGATCCCATAGAAAGGAAAATGGATACTTTCAATTTACAATTGCAGCAACCCACTGGTAAGTGCTTTGAAATTGTTATTGAGGGAGCATTTCAGAGTTTGCCATTGGGAACTACCTTGCAGAAATATTTTTAGCTGCAAATATTCTGTTTTAGCCACCTTTGAAGTCCTACTATGTATTTGTTTCACTCACTGCACCCGGGTCCTTGGTAGCTACAGTCCGTTCAGAATTCTTAACAGCTTAAAAATATAAAGAGCCTTTAGGGTTGGGACACATGGATTGGCAATATGTTTGTGCGAGGATTACATGAAACATATAACTACAAAAGAAAGATGGCATTTTGAAAAAGATGAGAGGCTGACTTTTTAAAACAGTGCACCAGGAATAAGAGTTTGCAAATATGAGGCATATAAAGGAGTATAATAATGGAAAACAATATAAGAGAAAAATGCTATAACTGAAAGCAAAGTAAATGTCTTATATGTCACTTCAGACATAATAGTTGTTCAATAGCTATATATGAAAATATGGTAGCTTATAAAACTGTGTTTAGCATTCTGAAATAAGACATATTGCACACAACAGTACTCTGGGGATTACTGAGACAGATTGAAAGAAGATATGTTCTGAATATCGGATGAATGAAACGTACATATATTGGAAGCAATGATATTAAATGATGTTGCTACAAAGTAGG